GGCTAATGGGATGTAACCGCCCCCTTAAATCACTCCTGAGTGGAGTTGTGATCCCCTCAGATCGTGGGAAACGGTTTTGGAACCGTTCAGCTCGTGTTTGAACGAGTCAAACGCAGGCCCGCGTTCTGACGTGAATTCTGCATTCAAACGCAGTGTCTGGAAGCTTGAACGCATCGTCTGGAAGCTCGGACGCAGCAATTAGAAGCTGCGTTTGCAGCGTTGGAATCTACGTCTGAGCTGCGTTTGCAGCGATTTGGAAGCTGCGTCTGGCGGTGATTTGAGCTGCGTTTGGCGGCGATTTGAGTTGCGTTTGGCAGTGATTTGAGCTGCGTTTGGCGGCGATTTGAGCTGCGTTGGGCAGCGGTATAGAGCTACGTTAGGCAGCGCTTGGATCTGCGTTGAGCAGCGGTATAGAGCTGCGTTGGGCAGCGGTATAGAGCTGCGTTAGGCAGCGCTTGGAGCTGCGTTGAGCAGCTGTTGGAGCTGCGTTGAGCAGCTGTTGGAGCTGCGTTGAGCTGCGTTCGTGGCTATGAACGCGATGCGTCTTGATGCTGGTGTGCGGGGAGGACTTCCACAGTTTGATTTGAAGAGACCGTCGATTTGTAGTCTCTTTCTGTTGAAGCGTTGCAAAGATCGTCATTTTGTAATCTTTACTTTAGCTCTCTGATATATGAGAGTCGTCAGATTGTAACTCCCGATGTTGATTATGAATGTTGTTTGATTAGAGCTTCCATCAGTTGTCGTGAAGGTCGTCAGATTGTAACATTTAGTGATCTACGTGAAAGTCTTCAAATTGTAACCTTTTGGAAGTCGTCAGATTGTAACTTCCATCATCGGTGTTTGATGGGGATCAGCTATCTATTGTGATTTTTAGACAGCCTAGAGTCTCATCTTCAAATGCAAGCGATTTTCCACACTCTTGGTCAAATACTTGCTTTCGAGAATCTCCCAAATTTTCTTCGCAGAAGTCTCATGTTGGCTTCTTGTTTTGATAATGTTTAACAAACAATTTACTTCTAATGTTATTTGTCTAGTATTTGTGTTCTCTTAATTATTCTAGGCAAACAACATGTTGGAGGATGGATGGAATAGAGCTTCAACGATCATATCCAAAGGAGGTTGGCGGAATGTCGGGTTGAAGCTTATGCAATTCAAGTTCAAGATCCAAGTTCAGCTTCATCCGCATAGTATACCAAGTCAAGCTTATTGAAGATCAAGATCGGCTTGGATAACTACTTTAGGATTTATATTATGTGTGTTAAGTACATTAAGCTCAATATCATATACACACACATTTTATTGGTTTCCTTGTATATATATATAGTCATATATATATACATATGTTTTGGTTTCTAAGCATATATATAGTTATATATATATACATACATGTGTTTTTGAGTTTTCATGTTTATAAATATGAAATCACATGTTTCATATTTATTATTGTGTTTTAGTATATATTGCATAGAATATGCAATTTTGTGATAATATTGTTTTCTTAGTTTTTGGACTTAACAATAATTATATACATATTCTATTAAGTCTATATAATCATTGTGCAAAGTCTCAAAACATGGTTTAGCCTAAATGTCAAAATTCACATGTTTACATTTTTGTGTTTTGGACTATTTTTGCAAAATGATGATTTTTCACAAATGGAAAATGCAATTTGGAAAATTCTTTTTGTAACATGTTTATTTACATGTTTATAAACATTTCCCAAAGTTTCATAATTTTTGGACTTCATTTGTTATTTTTAACAATTTTTCAAAAGTCAAAAAAATATGTTTTCAAACCTGTTTTTCTGTAGTGTCAGTTCGCGGTCGACCGCCACGGTCGACCGCCAAGAGTTCTAAACTCAGAACTATTTTTGCTAGCTCGCGGTCGACCGTCGCTAGTCCAGAGAGTTTCGCGGTCGACCGTCGCGGTCGACCGTCGCTTGTCCAGAACAGTTCTTCGCATTTTTATTCTTCGCGGTCGACCTCGAATATTTTACGGTCGACCGCCGATATGACCGTTGGACTCCAACAGTTATTTTCTGAACTATTTTTCTGGGGGCTTTGTTATCATTTTAGTGGGGTTTTTGCTGAAGTTTTGAGTGGGTATAAATACCCCATTGCCTTCAGCTCTCCAACTAACCATGAGAATGTTTTAAACAAGTTTAAAAAAGTTTTTAACAAGGGTTTATGATTGGTTTGAGTTTGGTTTAAAGCTGTTTTGGTTTTCACAAGTGGAGGAAATTATCTTCTTGTTTGGGCTTCAATCTCTATCTCTCCATCTTGTTATTCAGAGAAGAATCTCTAAACTCATTTCTAGCTATTTATTATTTTGTTTATAATTTCTATATGCTAGATTTTAATTGAGTTTAGTTTGATTTTGATTTCACTCATTGTTTACACACACCCACTTGAGCTTATTGTATTTGCATTCATAATATATTTGGGTTGGTGAGAGTTGTAACTTTGAGTGTGAGCTTTTATTGTGTTCTCATTCATATTGGAGAACAATCACTTGTTATTTTGAGCCTAATCGTGATAATCACTTTGTAATACACTTGTACACCGAGAGGAGTGTGTGGTGAGAGTCGGGGATCATTCCAAGAGGAGTGGCGTCGGTTGACGAGCCTAGAGAGAGGTTGTAACCGAGCACTTGAGGGAGACACGACTAGGTCCAACACTTGTGTGGGTGTAGAGTGTGATTGCATAGTGTTTGTTGTGTGAGAATTTTCGGTGAACTTGTAAACCGAGTGTGTAGAAGTTTCGGCTTCCAAACCGGATTGTGATAGTGGATTTCTCCCCGGAAGAGAGGAGCGGAGACGTAAGACGGAAGGTCCGAACTCCGTGATTATTTGATTGTGTTTGAGTGTGCTTTGGCGTTCATTTATATTTATGTTCATATCTTATATCGCCATTGTGCATTGCCCATTATTATATCATCCACTATCTTGTTTAGATTATTTACCCTTGTGTTGTTTATATATCCTTGCACATACATTGCCTATATCTCATTATTAGGATATATCTTGTTGTTCATATTGCTTATCCTAGCTCATATATATTATTGTATTTCACACTTGCTAGGATAACTTGTTAATTAGTTTTTAATTGGCATAAAATCAGATTAGATTAGCATAAGACCCTAATCACCCCCCTCTAGGGTCTAACATCTCATTCATCACATCATATTTTAGATCTTGAGTCAAACAAGACCTAATCACACCACACGCCGTTCGATTCATCTTCTTCCAAACATTCTCTTCAATGTCATCTGGCTTATCATCTAACTCCAATGTATCCTCCAAATTCTGCACGTTCAGCGCATCCAAAACCTCGCATCTCCATAATCCAAAATTGTTTGTGCCATTAAACTTCTCAACATCTATCTTCATAGAGTGGATATTCAAACTCTGAATGGTCTTCGCGTCAGAAGCATCACCCTAGACACCCGAAGCACCTTCTTTCTCCGATATCTTTCTCAACGCACCAACGAACGAAGAATAGATCCAAAACAGAAAAGATAGAGTCTTTACCAAAAAAAAATCTCACCTTTATCACCAAACGAAGCCCTAGACGAGCCTCCAAATTGATCTACTCCTCCAAATAGCCCAAGCGTAGCCCGAGCTCTGATACCACTTGTTGTGCGCAGCGGAAATTTCGGCAGAGTTTCTGGTGCACAATAAGAGAGAAAGATCCCAATAAGAATTCTCGTCTCACCAAGGAGACAAGAATCTGAAGCGAATATCTCAACAAAGTGAGATATCGGCTCTTCCTCTCATCAGTTTGTCGAGGGATCCTAAAAATATTACAATGGCCACAAACACAAACAAACTAATTTTACGTGGTTCGACAAACTGCCTACGTCCATGGGGCAAGGAGGGGGGGATCTACTATTAGAGAGGAGATAATACAACTAGGGTTTACAATCACTCAATCTAAACCCTCACACAATTATCTCTCTCAAAAGCATAAAAGGACACTTTGCACGCCGCCGCACCCCCTCAAAATTGCACTGCTGCTGCCGCCAATTAATTCTCCCTTTTGCTTGCTCACCAGCCGCACAAAATCCTTGCTACCAAAAAAAAAACAAATAGGGTTGCTTCGATTTTTATAGGAGAGCACGAGTGCATGTGGGCCTGCTGTCACCGCTCATGCGCTCGTATGTGTGGCCCACCTATCCGCAACAGAACGTGGGTGTTTATCTCCTTACGCGTTCAAAAGTGAACGTGTGTGGCCCACGTTCACAATTTACTATAACTTTATTACTGTAACAAGCATGAAACCGGACACTGTTTTTTTTTGAAAAAAATATTATTGTATATCTACTCCTTTATACAAATGGGAGAACCCAAGATTTGCTATTCATATTACAGTAAATACTACAGTAACATTTTACTATAACTTTAGTACTATAGCAAGCATGAAACTGGATATTTTTTTTTAAAAAATATTATTGTATAACACGGGAATACTGTAGCATAAGCGGGATACTGTAGCAATTCAAAAAATTCAAAAAAATATTGTAATAGTTAAAAACGAGATTACTGTAACGAGAAAAAAATTGCCGTGTTTTGCACGGTGTTCACACTAGTCCAATATATGATAAAATTTACACGAGTAACTCTAAGGTATACTCCAACGCAAATGACAATAACATGTCGTCAAATTTTGGGCCGTGTTGAAATACCCATACCAGTTTGTAAACCCGATACCGTCTGGCATTGATATGCGAACTTCAGAATTTGTCAATATAATTACCACGATACCATACATCACCGGAATGTAAAAAAAAAGTTCGTTTTCATTTAGACCCTCTACATTCTTTTTATTTTTCGTCCTGAGGAAAAGACCCTCTATATGATTATTTTCCTACGGCTTGGGTTAAAGAAATCAAATTGCCTTGTATTTGCATGAATAAATACCAATGATTCCTTCCCCCAACCCACCCAGAAAGAAGGGATTGATTGCATAAAATCTGGCCAAACATCCTAGAGCACCCAACGTTCCTCCCTCCCTCCCACCCTCCAGCTGTCCCCAAGCCTACCACCCTCGACATCAGAACTAGTCACTATTGGAAACAAAAATTCTACAAATATAAAGCATAGGAGACCCAAAAAAAAAAAAAAAAAAAAAAATCCGACTTTCTTCTTCCTCTTCCTCCAATCTCTGAACCATGGATGGCTACAGCAGATCAAGATCCTCCAGTGATGGCAGGAACATGCAGATTGAAGTCTATGGCTCCACCAACAGGAGAGGAGGAGGCCCAGCCCCTTCTTATGATTTCAGGAGCTATAGCACTTCTTATGCTTCTTCCTCCTCCTCTGTTTACAACAACAACAACTATGGGATGCAACCCCCAAGAGAGTTAAAGATGAAGAAAGCAAAGAGCACTTCTAGTGGCTGGAATCTTAACGACCCAGAGCTCCAGAGGAAGAAGAGGGTTGCTAGCTACAAGGTTTATTCTGTTGAGGGAAAGGTCAAGGGGTCTTTTAAGAAGAGCTTCAGGTGGCTTAAGGATAGATACACCCAGGTTGTCTATGGATGGTGGTGATTAAAGATTTGGTCTTTCTGGTATATATCATAAATACCCATCTCATATCTTTCTGGGTTTTGATTGATTTGTAGCTGCTCAGATTTCATTAGGTGTCTTTGGTGTGTATTATGCTTGAAAAATCCCCCCTTTGTCTTGGCGTTTGGTTGTGTTTGGAATTTTGCAGAGATGTACCTGAATTTATGTTGTTCCCCTTGATCTTCCATGTAAGGTGTCTGATTTTAGTTTCGTATTGGTCCCCCAGAAGTTCAATGATTTGTGATGGGTGTTGTTAGTTTCTTGATTGTTTTTTTTTTCTTTCTCCTATAATTGATCAATTGATGATCTCTTAAGATATCTCTCGTCTTCGTGCTCTTTATTATTTGGAATTTTGTTTGTGTGATAGATGTTGTACGGTTTCTAAGGCCAAAGGAGAAATGAGAATAGTATTGTCCTTTGGTTTGGAGAACAGGGTGGTAGTTTTTCCCTCTGGTCTGCATATGTGCTAGGTATCTTGAATTTTTTGCAGTGCCCTCGTGTAGCTCGAATAGGTTTTATTGGTTTTTTGGATGTTTTAAAAACCCGACAGTTGACGAGCAATATGTACTAGATTCAACCTAAACTTGAAAGCTTGCATTGATATCCAGATTATTCTTGACAAGTGAGCGAGTAATCTTGCACCCTTCTGATTGAAATGATCCATTTTAGCAGTCAGGGAAAGGCACCATGCCTATTCTTTATTATTCTGCTTCACCCGGATCGTTATCCTGATCCTAAAGTTATTTGCTTTTTTCTTGTTCCCAAAGTAATGGAGCAAAGTAAGGGAACTTACTCTGGGTGTTCATTTGAACAAATTTAGTTGATCAGATTACCAAGTTCGATTAATGGGTGTGAAGCAATCAATCTGATCTTTAGGCGAGTTCAACTAGGAAACTAGCAAGTAGTAACTGTTGTAACCCCTCGAAGTCACATATATTCTTCTAGACAGTGCTCACTGCCCTACTTAGCGCCTACATGACCAAGAGGGCAGATTTTCCATGTTCATCAAGTGCCCTCCCTGTTATTATCAGACTCCTCTCATCAGGTGCTGACTCTTTTCATAGGAAAAATAGTCGGCACTAAATTAGAGGGTACTTTTCATGTTTATACTCGTCATGAGATTCATGGAGCCTTGAGCATCATCTCTGAACTCAGTTTCTTATATGATGACGACTCTGACCATCCATCTGTTGCCTCCTTTTTATTAGTGTATCAAGTCATACTGAAAATAATAAAACACATTGAACAGATTTCTGAATACCATAGTTAACTTCAGTTATGCCATGTTTTCTTGATATGACGAGTTCTGTAAGTTCTTCCCGCTGGAGTCACTGTCTTAAGCAATGCTGAGGAAGGCTATTTAGGTCTTATCAGTTCAGTGTGGCATATGGATTGTGTAGTTGACTAATTCTACAGAATGAATATGTGTTCACATGCAAACGTTTTAGCCAAAAAAAAATCTGCAGATGGGAATCTCTTTGTCCAATAAAAGTTATGGACTCCAATATAGGTTGATGTGCATATCTGCGCAACTTGTATGTGATTATTTGCACATGCAAAGAGATACATTATGGTGGTTACAGGTCGGATGATGTTACACTCTACAAGAAAGGTTTATATTAAAGTTATATTCTGTAGGACCACAAAGGATTACATGTAACCGTCTAACTTTGAAGTTTGAATCATACAGGAAATCGGATTCAAATTCAGGTACTAGATACCACAAGTATCATAATTATTTCTAAGTAACATCATCCTTTCGCGAGAAGTAACTTAAAATAACAGGTTCTCGAACCTAGTTCTTTTTTAGTTTTCCTATAATGTGTTACCATGCTATGTTATGCAGCACATCAAAACATGAACTGGGCAACCAAATATCAGTTTTTTTTTGGGTTGGAGTTTCCATGCCATCCAGCTAAATAAAATCCCACCCATGATTTCGAGTTTTGGCCTTGGTCCACAAAATAGTAGGTGTCCATATCCAAGTAGTTTGATCTGCTTATTGTCCATATCTGATCCATTAAGCTATGCCATCTATTTTTTTTGTCTTAAACACAAAAGATCAAGTTAAATATGGAATAGACTAAATTTTTGATAGGATGGAGTGTTTACTATCTTGTTATGACTTCTTGGTCTAGTATTTGGTATTTTCATCATTTTATTGAATTGTTACATCTTTCTTGATTCTGTTATAGATTTGATCTTGACTTTGGCTGTGAGCGAGTAAAGTTAAGCTATCAGAATGTTGCTTTATTTGGAAATGCTGAAGCTACTACAGTCTACAGCGCTATGCGCTGTGGTCTATCGAGCTATTTGTTGTCATGGTAACTCCACAATGTGATGAATTGAAAGGTTGTTGGTGATCTACATCTTTTATAAGAATTGTTGCTCATTTGTACTTTTTTTTTCCTCATCAGTCTTATCCTTTCAGCTAGAATTAACACAACTTGGTTCATCATTTTAATTTCGAGTGCAATAGCCTTCTTATAGTTCCTCTGAACATTGCCTGTATCTCTTTTTCCCTTCCTGTTTTAGCAATAGTGCTGCTCTTTTTGTTCGTCTGATGACACACTTTGATATTTAGCTGTTTCCACTCTTCTGTGATGTGCAGGCTATTTTCGGAATATACTTATTTGCGAGAATACTTGTGTATTTACGATGGACTTGTGCTTACAGGCTGTGAATCATGTATTTTATCAAACTCTAGACCCGTTCTAAGCTGATCATATTACATGTGTACTGGACATTGTTGGAATATAATTGTGATAAATCGTTCCTGCACGCTGCAGAATGCTTCCTTGCCTCTTTTTTTCATCCTTTAGCAGTTCTTTTTTGCATTGTCATGAAACAGCTAGATTTCTGATGCGTACTTTTGATGACATAAACGGAGAACTTCAGGATATGGTATATCTGTATTTGAGTGTTCTTTGCTGGAGGTTAATAATTTCTTACACTCGTTGAAGAGGATAATCACACTGCAGAAAGGTTGTGTATATAGGTACAGCTAAAAGTTGTCTATATATGTTGCTTTGTCTTCCATTATCTTGTTTGATATTCAACTCAAAATCTTGATCTTGATTAAAAAAAATGCCGTACAAACTGTGTTATTGGATTCTGTATGAGTAGCTGATTTCCTTATAGTGTTGCATACGTTTTTATTGGTAGTTATTCTTCATATGCAGTATTATTTTTTAATTTGCCATTCAATTTCCAGCAAAACCAAAAGGCCCTGAAGTAGCAAGAGTCCCTGCGTAAAGGCATAAAGCCATGGTGATAAAGTCAAGAATACTTGTAAATTAAATCAAGGGAAAATTTTCAAAATGGACCCCATTAGGAACTTATTTTAAAAAACGGCCCATTTGAAATTTATTTGTCATTTTTGATCTAGTTTCAGCCGCCTGGCTGAAACTGGATCGGAAATTGCAAATAAAGTTTGAAAACTTCATGGGATTTAAAATCTCGTGAAGTTTAGTGAGTGATTAGCCAAACTAATGAGAAAGCCATCTAGCTTCACGGGATTTGAAATCCCGTGAAGTTGTGAAGTTGCAGGTGTAACTTCCAGAGAGCTCACGAGTCTCTGCCAAACGAGCCTCCTACGTCACGTGATTTGAAATCCCGTGAAGTTGCAGGTTACCCACAAACACGCACAGTCTGTGTGCATGTTTCACCTAATGAGCCTGTAAATTTCACATAATCAAAAACTTGTTGTATATAATAAAATTTCTGCCTCATTCACAACAATATACATGAAAATCCAACCATAAACATCAAATTTGCCGCATATATATTGAATTACAACAATATACATAAAATTCAACTGTAAATCAAAACCAAGGCCGTACCTAGGAATTTTGGGGCCCAAGGCGATATATTAGATGAGGCCTAAGTGATACAACTCATAATAGATTTTATCTCATTCTTCTTACCTTTTGAGCTGCAAAATTACTAATTAAAGTTTTATATTCAATATTTTCTAACATATTATTTTCAATAGATAATATTGTTAAACCATTCAATCTATCTTGTAACATGGTCAATCTTAAATAAGATTTTAGTAATTTTAATTTTAAAAAACTTCTTTCAGCGGAATCAACTGTTACGGGTATAGTCAATAATACATGATAAGCAATACAAGTATTTGGAAAAGAATCTAACCACTTTATATAGTACAACACTTCAATTGGGCTATTAATCTCTACTTTTAAAATTTTTCTAAGCACTCATGTGAATTTTCTTTTCTTCATAGTTTTTATTACTAAAAACAAATTTATCAAGAGCTCCTTGTTGAGATCAAATTAATTTTTCAACTCTTTTTCTTTTTCTTTTCAATTTTTAACAACCACTTTTATATTTTTTATTAGGCATGCTTTCAAAATATAAAATAGCAAATAGAAAGCTTTCAATGCATATTTATAATCTCTCTAATTAAGCATAAAATTAATATGAATAAATGATAAAGAAAATTAAATAGCTTTAGTTAGAAAGATAGAACCGTTGAGATTGACGTTTGGTGGCGCCGTGGCGGCGAGAGTCGAGAGAAGCGGGATCGGATTCGCTATTCAGCCTCTTGGTTACAAGAATCAAATAATAGGACACCAGAAACTTAATACAACCTAACAAAAAACCACAAACATCACCAATTTCGCCAATCAAAAAAATTAGGGAAACTCTAAGAACCGAGTACTGGCGATGCCATAGACTTTTTCGCTGGAGATGAGGCCGTTGGTGGCTCGATTGCCCTCGGCGATCCGCTGGAGGAGGTTCAGGTTCTTGACTTTCTGCTGCGAGTAGATGACGGGGTCCTCGCTGACGTTGAGCTCTGACTCCGAGGGCTCCGATGAGTCAATGATGATCGATCTTGAGAACGCGGTAGTGTTGCTTGTATCGATCCCTACCGATGAGATTAAGATAGAATCGCTGCGATGAGCGAAAAAATTAGTCCAAGGAGAGAAGATTTAGGGATTGGGGGATTTGAGACATAGAGAGAGAGAGAAAGAGTACTGCTCGACTTCATAGGCGGCTGAGGATTTGAGACAGAGAGAGAGAGAAATAGGGTTAGGATTTAGGCTGTAAGTGGCTTAAAAACTTGTGGGTGGATGGGCCTTACCTAGGATGAGGCCCAAGGCAGAGGCCTTGACTGACTTATGGTATGGCCGGCCCTGATCAAAACAATACACATGAAAATCACATATATAAACAAAAATCAATCCACACAAGCAACAAATTTGAACAATCTAATCACATATACTCTTGAAATTCATAATCATACTGTAAATTTCACATACATCCTAAAACTCCTCCCCTATTTCCTCTCCCTCTCTTACCCTTTGCCCTAACTCTTCCCTCTTGTCCCCACCCCCTCTGTCCATGCTGATGAGCCTCGATGACATGAGTATCTAGTTGTGTATGAGGCTGAGAAGTGCTGGCTCCATCAGCATGCGCCACACTATGAGAAGTGCCGGCTCTATCATCACGCGCCGCCTTTTGACCTGTCCTACGTCTTCGCGTGTACACTTCACCAAATTGGTGTGACCTGTCCTAACATCCATCAAACTCGTCGACATGATTTTTATAGAACACATTTGCTATTCTCTGTCTGATCCTATTGAAGGTCCCTAACATTGTTGGATCTTGAATCTCATTAATATGTTCATTTATATTAACCTTAATCTCATCAAAAGCATGGATCTGTAATTTAATCAATATTATAAGGACCATAAATTTTGATACTAGTTAAAATAAATTTTTGGTATTTTAAAATATTTAATCATGATTTTAAAAGAGTAATTATATTTTTCTCGAATTTCTACAATTTTCTATGATTTAAAGTCCAAGCTTTATATTTATTTAAATGATATTAATATTTATAAATTAATTTTATGCGGTGAAAATTTATGGAATTAATCCGTTGTGTTATCGATACTATTACATATCATTTTGAATAATATGTTATAATATTATTACTATTATGTATTATTTCATGTATTATGTTATATTATTAATTACGTATTATTTGTGTAATTTATTGTATTTTTTTCTACAATTACGTATCGACTATCATATTAGTACAACTGGTACATTTTACTGTGTATATAATTATTCTATAATTATTTAATTTTAAATGTAAGTAAATATATTTTATTTATTAATTATTCTTGTTTAATTGTACAATATGTGCATATTTCGACTGTTTCGTATCAACTGTTGTATTAGACAACATGTACGTTTTTAATTATAGATAATTATTCTGTAATTAGTTTAATTTATTAATACCCGATATTTATATATAATTAGTTTTTGTTTAAATTTTCTTAAACCCTAATTCCCCTTAATAAATAAATACGTACTATATAGTATAATACTTATATTATTTAATAATCTATATATGTCTCTTCCTGGTTCACAAAAACCCGTCGCCGCTCCTATTTTCTTCTACTCCTCTCTCGTTCTCTTCTCCCTCCGATCTCTCCTTCGCCGCCTCGATCAACCTGAGCAGCGCCGAGGCGTGTCGCCTCGCCTTCACCACCACCGCACCACCACGAGCTCCGTCACCGCCATCCTGAAGCTCGCCGTTGCCTCGCCGAACGTCGTGCCTCCAGCCTCCGGACTGCCGATCGCCCAGTCCACAGCCTTCCTCCCGGTGCCTCAGCCCACACCACGGCTCGAGACCGGCCCTGCACCGGCTCGAAACCTGACAGCTTCCATCGTCGGGCCCCAGACCAGCCGGGAGGTCGCCGCAAGCACAACCTTTCCACCACGTAGCCAACCACACCGCGCCTGCAACATCGCTACTGAGAGCCTCAAGCCAGCCGTCGTCAACCTCCCTCTCCCTACTGCTGGCCTGACCGCCGTACCGACAGCCCCACACTCCTTCTGCTGTCAAAACGAAAAAAAATATAAAACAAATTAAGGAGTTAGAAAATTCAGCCTTGATAAGTTGGCGGAGCAAGTCGTGATATCACTGCCCTATGAGATTAAGGACCTGGCCTATCGCGCCTTGGTGTCAGTTTGTCTCTCTCACGACCTAGCCGGTAAAAAAACCCCGGAATCGCGGCCTCTGCACATCGGGCGTGAGAACACAGAGTCTTATGCATCAGATGAAAATGGTTTGCCCAGTTAAAATGTCAGCGAAATTTCTTGGGGAGGTAAGAGAGTAGAGAAGAGAAGGCAGAGTTTAGAAATTTCCTCTTCGGTTGGTGTGAATCTGAATGAGCTCCAAGCCTCCTTTTATAGGTGATTGAAAGGTGTAACCCCCGCTGAATCAAGGGACCGTACGCACGTTAATGCTTCCGTTACCCGCATGCAGCCGTTACAAAATGTGTAAAACGTTGCAAAAATGAAGGCTTGAGAAGCAAAAGTGTCGGCTGCGGCGTGGCGTGCGGGCGACGGCGCGGCGTTGGCTGAGCGGGTCGTGGCGAGCCGTCGCGGCGGCGTGCGAAGGCGCGGCGTGGCGTGCGTCCGCGCGCGTGTGTGGTTAAGAACCGCAAAGGCCCACAAAACCCAAAATCACTATTCAGCCCCATATAAGGAGCAGAACCATTACTATACCCTTGTACTATTCATCTCATTTTCCGATGTGGGAACTATCACAAAGGCAAAATTGTCTTTTCTTAACAAAATATCTAACAGTCCCCCCCCAAAAGGCAATATTGACTGAAAATAATAAATCAATAAATAAATCACAGAATAAATATAGGTTGGGCAACCTTTCGTATCGTGAATTCGGGAGAGGTAGCTCTCGGCTTTGAACCTTTCCTTAGTGGGTTCATCGCCACCTGAGGGACATAATGGACTAGGCCTTGAATTAGGCCCCTTTAATCAGGTATTGATGAAAACACACACAATACGCTTCATCTATTGAGCAAAGCGGGTTGAGCGTTAAAGGCCATGCTCACAAAAAACCGACTCATGAGAGTTTCTAGGGGTCA